TGTGCCCTCGGTCACTTTAAATATCAAAAATGGCCACCGCTTGTAAACACTCAAAATGGCTACACCTTAGTCATTTTAAATATCCAAAATGGTTGCCACGTGTAAACAATCAAAATGGCTGCACCCTCTGGACAGCGGAAAGTCAACAGCTCAGGTTGTCTCCCTCCCTGCTGTTTCCCTTCCTAGATAGAAGCCACCAGCGCAGTTATCCCTGCAGCCCTTGGTGACCAGGGCTGATCTTTAGGTCAACTTTCAGTTCCCAACATCACTTGGAAATATTCAGGCTGTTGGTCCCGTCAGAGTAGCTGACAGCCCGCAGCTCTGACCATCTCTGTACTTACTGTTTTCATTCAGGTTTTTCCACTAGTTGGTGCCTAATCCACTTCTGTATAGTTTCTTTCAAAGCTTAGGGCTTCAGGATTATCTTCCATATCTCTGTCAATTGGTCTTTCTTTTCCTTGTTGAAGAGGGTCTGTGTCACTTGTCTGCCTATTCTTCCATCTTACCAGAAGTCTCCTGGATTGTTCGTTACCATTCTGAGGAAAGTGAATAAAAGTACACGCCGATTGTCTCAACTGTGCCTCAGAATCCTTCATAATCCAACACTCCATATTGGACCAGGTAGGAGAATGAAATCAACTTGCCATTCCTTGTCTATTGTAGAAAACATGAAGAATTAAAACTGTGGAAGAGAGAACTGGAAACCAATTTAGCAATGTTTGCTGTGGTCACAAACACATGGCAGAACTGGCACCAGAAACCAGGCCTCCTGATTCTTTATCAAGTTTTCCTTCTCCCATTTCACACTGTACCTGTAGTGGGAGTCCAAATAGTACACCTGTCTGACTCCTGGTCCTCACTTTTGCTTTTGAAATGAGATAGTCTCTCCATACAATAGGAAATAAATAGCTCTGGTGGCACAGTGGTTAAGCATTTAGCTGCTAACCAAGAGGTCAGTGGTTTGAACCCACCAACCACCCTGCGGGAGAAAGATGATGCAGTCTGCTTCTGTAAAGAAATCCTATGTGGCGGTTCTGCTCTGTCCTATAGGGTCACTATGAGTTGGAATCGACTACGTGTTACACAGCACTACCCACAACAAAAGAGAACATGTGATGACAAAAATGACTGTGGATTTCTTAACACTGGAGCACTTATAAACTATTCTATTTACAGATAAGTGACTCTATAAGACTCTACAAGAGAACATGCCATTTACAAAGGGGATACTTGGAGCCATTTTCCTGCACATTTTCCTTTTATAAAGTATTCTTATTTTTTATAGTTTGCATCGAAATATATAGGAGCTCGTATGGCCTAGTGGTTAAAAGGATTTAACTGCTAACCAAAATGTCGGTGGTTTGCACCCACCAGCTGACCTGTGGGAGAAGGGTGAGGCTGTCTACTTCTGGAAAGATTTGCAGCCTTGGAAACCCTATGGAGCACTTATACCCTGCCTTATAGGGTTGCGATGAGTTAGAATTGACTTGATGGCAGTGGGCTTGTTGAAATATATAAATAACTTTGGTCCCCTATACAACAATCAGTATAAAATGGATACATTAATAACTTGAGAAAAAGAAAGATGGTGACAAACAGTTATTTGTCCACTCTGAGAGACTGACCTTCAACATGTGGTACCTTTCAGCACGGAGTGCAAGGATTTCTTCTATTGCAGGAATATCATCTGGTAGTTCAGTCTCAGCCAATTCGGTCCCAAAGGACTGTAACATCTGAGCCGTTTCCTTCACTGTGAGGGCAAAATTTTCTATAGCCTGCAAAGGGCCAGTGATCATTTTAATTCTATAGTAACTTTGCCAACATATCAAAATTTGGATCAGTAATTACATTTACTTTATTTCAGTATGACAGCAAACATATATACTGTGAACTCTCCTCTGCTAAGGAAATTTTCCATCGCCCATGGCAATCAACTTTAACTTTGCATCTAAGCCTCTGAGAAACTGAAGTGAGGTTAAGAGTCTTCCAGAATATCATTTACCTAGGATTCTGTACTTATATCTTGGACACCAATGAACACTATTTCTTAACAATGCCATGGACTGAGTAATTTGTTTTATGCCCTTGAAAAGCACACTGTTTTCCTTACTCTATTGAATTCTGTAATCAGTAAAGTGCCTTATGATAACTTTATTCTGAAAAGAGATGAGAACATCAAACCCACTTTATATTTGTTTATTCTCATTTATAAACGGTTTTCAAGGTAAAGGACTTAGGGAATGGGGAACAACTAGTCATGAGCAGTGAGTTTTGAGTACGGTGGATTGGAAATAATGTTCCCTAAGGCTTTGTTGCCCTAAATTGTCAATCAAAGTTTTGTTATTTTGTTTCAAAATTGGTGGCTCACTGAATGAAGAGCAAGATATAGAGACCATATGAACCGTCTCATACCACCCAGCCCAAGTATCTATTCTTTTCTTTCTAGCTCTATAGGTTATTAAAGACTGTTGTTGTTAGGTGCTGTCGGGCCAATTCCAACTCATGGCAACCCCATGTGACAGAGGGGAACTGGCCCATAGTGTTTTTTAAGCTGTCATCTATACTTAAGCAGATTGCTAGGTCTTTCTCCCATGGAGCCACTGGATGGGTTCGAACTGCCAACCTTTCAGCCAAGTGCTTAGCCAATCTGCTACCACGGCACCTTTCTTTTCTTTTCTTTCTTTTTATTGTGATTTGGGTGAAAGTTAACAGTGCAAATTCACTTTCCACATAGCAGTTCACATACACTTTGACTCATGACATTGACTACAATTTACCCAAATGCAACAGCTCCCCTCCTGCTTCCTCCTGATAGTTACCTCTTCCCTGTGTCCATCCCTCCATGCACTCCTGCCCCCTGAGCTGTCTCCCTGTGCATAAACAGCCCTTCTTTCTCCCATG